AAAAACGAGATTACAGGCGGAATAATAAAAGTTTTAAATTCTTTATTTTTAAAGTATTGATTCCAATTATCTCCGAAGTTATTGAGAATCTTAGATACACTTAAGATATTAGAACATAGTTAATAATATTATTTTATTAGTATGTAATATGATATTGTTGGTACTGTGACGTGGATGTTTATTGTATTGGTTTTCTCTTTCAATATTGTTTTATTGTATTCTGATTCATAAACTATTGTAATATACTCTATATTGTTAAGTGACAATACGTCGGCCTAGTGTTCCTGTAAATTACGCCATGTTTTTTTTGTATTTTTTATATATGTGTTCGAATCATTTATTATTTATGAGCTGTAATGCAAGCAACCCCATACCTATAAAAAAACCAACACAATGGCAATAACTCAACATTTAATACCAGTTTTTAAAAAGTATATTTTAGTAAACAATATATGTATTCTCTAATGAATGCTGCATGAATTAAGAAAGTAAAACTAAAACTTAAAAAAAAAAATCCCTGAAGAATTATTAGTAGAAGTAAAACTCTTCAACCCACCCTAAGCTAAAATGATATAACAAATAGACAGTGAAAGGACGGGATAGCCTTTTAACCAGCCCTGAGTGTCACAGAATGTTTAATTATGGTCATCTTAAACAACAAAAAGATTATTAATATAATTTGTTTACTTCACTGTGTTTTCAATTAAGCTTACAATAACTCTGAACATAATTTATCACTAGGCAGTTTCTCTTGATACAAGAATTATATTAATTTTCTTAACACACACACACGAAAACATCTATTTTTACGTGTCATTTACGTTCATAAATGACATTAGCTGATTAAATGTATTTCTTTAAGTTCATTCGTTATGTTATATAATTTTGTGGAATGTAGTGTACAATAATTTATGTTTTCTGTTGTTAATTATTTCTAATGGCAATATCAGAGGCTATTGATAGTTTAACAGTTGATTAAAATATTTAAAACATAGCTAGATGTTTCTGCTATATTAGCAAAGTTTTTCAACGAAAAAGCATTACTAAAAATATTAGACCGGAAAACGAACTTGTAAATTCGCTAGGCAATCATTTACATAAAATGTTTTTATCCCATATACTATTAACCAGTTGCTACACTGCATACGAGTTTTAACTTGGCATTAATACTTCCACAATTATAGGTATAACTTAAATTGGTGAATATATTGTGAGAAAGTAAATACTTGTAATCCGAGTAAGGAGATTAAATTCGAACACATAATTGCATAAGGTATAAGAACTGTTTTAAAACATGATTTTACAGAATTTGAAACGGTATCATTTCTGTTATGAAGAAATAACGAGATTTTTCTTCAAAGAGGCGAATATAATCTGATGATCTGAAATAGATAAATATTCACTGAAAGACCGCCGTGCTAGCCATTATAATGTGTTCCCTGTAATCAGTAATCAGCACCGAGGACGTGTCCCGTCAACATTTCTTGCACATTCCTGAAAGGTCGTAGATTAAAGAGAAATATTACTGTGATTGTGCAGATTTTGTTAATAGAGCCACGTAATGTATAAACATGTGGAATCGTATATGTTTACATAAGTTTTACGGTGATTACATTACACTAACGAACCTGAGCTTCATTTATCCAGCTTTATTTGAAAGAACATTGAGTTACGTTCTAGCAATTGATCAAAGCATTACAGGCTAATACTATGCTGTTGAATTCATAATCTTACCTAAAAACAACTTTCATGTTCCATTGAAACATTTCATCATGAAATTCGTCGATTTGCTGAAATGTTCTGAAGATATACTTCTGTTATGTGAGTTAGAACAGAGTTGAAATCATGTAGATTACGAACAGTATGAATAGTTAGAATGATATGTCAATAATGTGATTATTGTCATTTTGTCATTAGTACTAAGATACGTTTTCAATTATCATTAGGTGTTAGCGAATGAACTTTGGGCAACACAGTTGAATAATATATATGTTATTCGTTTATCAAAGCATTGGTATGCTTATATAATCTTCTTCTTTAATAGCTTATATAACATGTACCAGTAAAAATGCTCATTTGATGCACTACAAATGCTATTATCGAACAACAACCCTAAATATAACCTGTCTGGTCAAAACCATGAAACAAATCACAACTAAGCTAACGACAAAGCGTAATACCGAGCCTCTAGGCTTTTCTTGATAACACGTGTGTTAACAAAGGTACACAAATAAAAAAACAAACCTTTCAGAACACTGTTTCACGTCTAGGAAATTTGTTACATAGAGGCTTATAAAGTAAAGCAGGAAAGGCCAGAGGGCTTACAACAATAACATATACACAACCTGACTTACTGTTATGATAACTTCTGTTGATTAGATACAAGTGTTTTTATATTTTTGTACAAACCAATAATAGTGGAAACACATTGTATTATGTACCTTAGTTATAGGAAGTTAAAAATATAATGTTTTTAGTGTTTTTGGTTTTGAAAATAAAAATATTATGGTATTCTCGAAATGAAACAAGTCAAACAGTAAATATTTAGGACTAGTGGGAATTTATTTTTTATAAAAAAACTAAAATAAAGATTTAACCAAGCCTCTAATCAGGTCAATAACTATTGTCCATGATGTTCTCTACAACACAAGTATTTCTGTGTACAATTATAAACCTTGTCTTAATAAAATTAATTAAAGCTAGTTGCGTCTTATGTTTCTACAGTTGAGTTTGTCGTGTTTTGTAAGTTACATATTTTGACAAATAATACAGGGTTTACATTTTCTGATTGACTGAAAGCAGAGCTCAAAGTTGGAACAGATATACCTCAAAAGCATATAATATAGTAAATATGTTCCAGTATGCAACCAAAAATTTTAATTTCAGAGCGTGAATGCGTATTTTATAGTTAATGGTATTTTCATATTTTTTTCTATAGTCTTCAACATTTTTTTTACAGTTATTGTCCATGCAATTCCAATAAACTCGTAGTTAATTTTTTTATCACAGACACTATATTAACGAAACAGAAACCTATTAATACTTGAATAAGACATGTTGACTTCAGACAATCAGGATGAACTGTTCATAATATAATTGTTAACTTAGTATTAAATCAAAATGATTTGTTCATTACCCAATAAGATTGAGTTGTTCATGATATAGTAAGTTATCCAATGCTCACTGACAGTTCTTGCTAGTTAAACCTGAGGGTGAATTAAACAAAAATTCATTTCGAGTTTCTTCATCGAATAACTGTTAGACGACTTATCTTCATCAAACACCATTCCAGTAGTGTAAGAACGAATATGAAACTTGAAGTAACAAAGTATCGTTTTCGTCCCTGACGTCTAAAGCTGACAGTGAATTAGAATCTGATTGTAGTAATCTTATTGTAGGTTGTTCTTTTTTGTTTTTTACCGGAGGTTTCGAACACATACACTTAGTCATAAAGCTATAATTCCAAAACTCTTAACTATTGGTTTCAAGAGGCTGTATTTTAAAATGGGTGTTAGTTGATGAGAGTTATCAAAATAGAATAGCAAAATAAACCCATTATTTTTTTTCTTTATTATTCATCAGTTGTCATTAAATTTAAAACAAGATATTGATGACTATATATTTACCAAAAACTTCCCTCAGCTAAATATATATATATACATAACAAGGTACATTGGTAAACTTTTTATAGTATTTTTTTTATAATAAAAACTGTTTTTGATATACAACAACGTTCATTCATTATAGATCTGGGGTCATCTGAAAAAACCCGTAGGCTTGGTTATTGGTATGGCGAGCCAGTTTTTTCTTATTCCTCTTCTCGCGTTTTCTTTGATCAAGATCTGTGGTCTAAATTCTCTTTATGCCACAGGGATGATGATTCTGTCTTGTTGTCCTGGAGGAAGTACGTCTAACGTGATTACTTATTTCTGTGATGGAGATGTTTCTTTAAGGTAAGCATACAATAGATTTATGTATTCTACCAGTTAACCGAGCATGTCAGTACTACGGTGGATAAAATAAAAATAAAACTTTCAAATTGCAATTCTTCTGCAGCATGACTGTCGTTTTCCCACCTCTGTTTTTGTTTATAGAATAAACATTATGATTTTTTCATTGTAAAGCAACCTCTGTAGAACATTAACTATGATGATTTATTTACGATGTAAGATATCTCTAAGATCTGAAAGAAGCACTAATGTTTGAAGTTGGTTTCATATAAGTATACAAGACATCGGCAAAAGAAGTTATAAAGCAGCAAAGAAATTAGCTATTAGGGTGGCTCATTACTTTTTTTTTTATATAAAACAAAACATATTATTCAGTTAATTACTTATTCACTGTATTATTCATGAGAGAAACAAAGAATCTGTAGCCTGTGCATTAGGCGTAACGTTAGAGGTTTCCTCTTTGTTTTACAACATACCCTTATGTGCTCGGATGTGAGTTCAATGTTCTGAAATGAACCCTCTATCTTACTATGTTGACTGTAACTTAACCTATTTAGGCATAAAATTGGATTTAAAATGAATGTTTTAAATCCTTCACTGTTCTAAGAAAGAAAAAGAAACTGTTGTTGTCCACCTTATAATTTTTAGATGAAAGTTTTGAATTTTTCAGAAAAAGTGAAACTTTAAACTGAGAAGGATTGAAAATCATGCCCCTAATTATAAAGTAATGCTAGTAATAAGGACCTATGATAATACGCTCTGTTGTTGTTTTCATGCTCAGCCTTTTTTTTCAATTATGCAAGTTTAGTCCGTGAAGAAGTTGTTGTGCCAATCGTTAACGTTTTTTAATAAAGTTAAATATTTAAGTTGTTACATAGTAGGAAAGGATAAATATAGCAAGTTCGTTGATCTTTCATAGCACTGATTTTTGTAATAAACGAGCAGCGACCTCAATCTGATTAACATAGTTAAGAATATTATGCTTTCCCTTCATGTTCCTGATGAAACTAACAAAATAAATAAAATTACATTTTATATACAAGATATAGCAGACTTATTTAATTGTTTGTTTGTTTTTAGCATAGCTGTCCTTAATTTTGAACTTATAGCGGAATACGTTTTTGTGACAAGACATGAACTGTGTTGTGACGATTTTAAACTACTCCTCAAAAGATTAAGGAAGTTACCTGGCAACGGTTGGTTGTTCCGTACAATGATACACAATGAACTATTTGTGCTCTGCTCACCATAGGTAAACCTACAGAATTAACGCTGAGCCATTGGAGGGGGAAGGGTAGCTTACCTGACAAATTAAAAACTAAAAAACTGTTATGTCATTACTATCATGACTATAAACAATGTGTTACGCTTTTATAGAAGGAAGAACGTGATGTTAATGTAAAAAAAAAGTACAAGACTTCCAAAATATATATTGTTATTACGTTTGTGAAATAACTATGACATCAGTTGCTGCCTAGATTAACATGTTGAAACTAACTCAAATTATGTTTATGTTTCGCCCAGCATTGTATTCTCTGTTCCACCTTAAGAGTTAATAAAGATAATTTTACAAGATAGAAACATAATTAGATAAGGTGTTCCTATATTGTGAGATCACTGCTCCAAAAACTGACTCAGAAAAGTATATGTAAATGTTATTTCTTTTCTTGTGCGAAACATTTCATAAATCATGCTAACAATTTTATATTCACATCTTACACGAATGTTTAAAAACCCTATAACCCCGAGCACTTTAGAATGATGGACGTTTCTTCTTTAAGGGCAAACTGTGAATGGTGGTGTGATCAAATGAGTGATATATATAAAGAGAGTTTAGTGACGTCATGAAAGTCATCCGGTTTTCCAGGAAATGTTTAGTCTATTTTTATTTTAGAAATGGGTAAATATATGTATATTTAAAACATACTTAAGTGTTTAAGTAAAATAAAGGTGACACCTGAAGACTGATTGAAAAATATGAATGTTTGATGTCATTCATTAGCTTGTTAAGTTTAGACTAGAATAAGAATTAATCTGAAAATTAAGTTATTAAAGACGGCGTCTGGGAAAAAACACACATTAATGTTATTCGTGGGCAGTCACTAATGAGAGCACAATTAACTATGAGCCATCCTGTTTAAAATTGTATCCAATTTCGACGTTATGCAAACTATGTTTTAGAAATTCATTTGTAAGTTCTCTATTTCTAGAAACCTTAACAATGGAAGGTCTGGGAGTCAGTAATCCTGGAAATTCTACCTCTAAAGGGCCTAAGAGTCAGTACTCCTAGAAATCATACCTCTGGTGGGCGATTATAAAACTATAGATTATGGTTTTTAATAAGCCATCTTACCATAAACCATCTAGTGTATGAGAAAGACGTTTTCCCAACTTCTGTTTCAACGCTCTCCGATGGCTCAGTAGTAAGTCTGAGGGCTTATAACAATGTATCGAGACCCACGGTGGCACGGGCGTCCGCAGGGGGCAAGTTCTTGCCCCCTGGAAAGTGAGAAACATAATTCTTTCTTTATTCAATTCTCAAGTTCACACTACTTTGCGACCCCCTGGAAAACTTTGCGCCTCCCTGGAAAAATTCCTGCAGACACCCATGCATGGTGGAGAAAACACAGATAGTCCCTTCTGTAGCTTTGCGCCTAACAACAAACAAACAAAACCCGTATCAATAGTCTGATCCCACAGAAATCAATTGACGATTTGACCAGTATGTCTTCATACGGAATAGCATGAATACACATTTCATTCTTCAGCTGTTTGAATTATGTGACGGTATATTGGGGAAGCAGCTTGTGTAAATGTGAGTTGTGTCGCTTCTTCAGATGAAGATCCTTCTTGATTATACTGTATAATTTTGTCCAGGACATGTGGACGGATTTTGTCACAGACTATTGTGTTCGCGAATACTCTTCTGTTACAAGAAATGGCTGAGGTTTTCTGATTTTCCAGCTAGATTTGGCATTGAGGTTTACTTTACGTTATTGTCATATAGATTATAATAAGAAACTTGTTGTAGAATACATTCTATACCATGAACAGTTCAGAAGTGTGATTTCGAGCTTTATCAGCTCTCATCAGCCCAGTTAATCGAATATAGAGAATATTGTGTAATGGATATTTATATGCTTTTAGATGTGGAAGAAAGTTGTATGTTTTACCAAAATGTACAACAAACTGCCTTCTTGTTTTTACAAGCACAAACATTGATGTTGCATGCAAAACGTAGCAAAGTTATTAACTTGAAATTATTTGTTACTAATATTAATTTTCTTTTCTTTCAGTGTTGCTATGACGACTTGGTCAACGATCATTGCCCTTGGAATGATGCCATTTAACTTGTGGGTTTATGGACACGGAATAGATACAGGGGAAGTTTCTGTTCCTTATTGGAAGTTGGCGCTGTCTTTGGTAATGATTACCTTGCCTCTTGCTATTGGAATGATAGTTAAGGCGAAGTTACCAAAAGTGGCTCCGTATTTCACAAAGGTAAAGATCTTTAGGCCAATAATTGCATATGGCCTGCTATATATACACACTTAGAAGTTTTTCGTGTATTTATTTATGTGGACGAATAAAAAAATAAAGGCCTATCGGTAGTTTTATTAACAAATTAAATACTTTTAGAATATCTATACCTCAACGTACCAAATAATTTCAGCTTAAATTATAAAAAATATAAAACCCCCAAAAAGTTGTTCCAAACAATATTAGTATTGAAATTTGGAGAGGTAAAGAAACGATTTTGTAAAAGTTTAAAAGTGGTATATATATATATATATATATTTATATATATAAACTACCACTCAGAGCTTTAAAGAATATAACGTGGAGATAAAAATTAAACATCCAAGCAATAACCGCAATGATTAAATCACGAAATTAAAACTAAATCTTTGAAACAACGTTAAATTTATTGGTTTAAAAAACTGAATTTGATTGAGGTTACTAAAATACCAGAAGTTTTTATTTCATTCATCAAATGTTTATATGCTTAGAGAAGAGTAATTTTGAGGCTAATGAAATAATATTATGTAAACTTACGTCCAATCCTAAACATTTCCTTTCCTCTAACATACATTTTATAAATAGGACAGCAGTTTGGGGGGGGTGTTTCCAGGCATGCCACCAGAGGGCGACACAATTAGGACACATTTAATGATCAGACAAATTATTTTTAACGCTGTTATATTTAATATGTTCGTAATAAGTTGTTTCAACACTAGAAATTTTTCGAACGTAGCTTTAATGCTACACATCACCGTTATTTTATCCACAAAGTTAAATTACTTTTTATGTGTTCTGAAATCATATTTTTAGAATAATCAGCCTATTGCAGAATGTCTACGAAACAGGTTATCTCGAACACATAATCTATGCTTAGAACTACCTAACTCTATGGTTCAATATATTTTAAACTTAAAAGTTTTCTCTAATAATGAGCAACAAATATATAATTTCGCTTGACCTTCATTTATTCTCTAAACTTTTTTCTTTATACTATTAAATCCTTTTGCACTGACGTTTTAAAATTACTGTGAGTTACTTCGTAATTGTTATAATGTCTTTCTCGAGTGTAAAGGTCTTTTATTTTATTAACTATAAAATTGTATATATCTTCATCTTGAAAACATTGTGTTTTCTTTTTTCTCCTGCTAGATAGGAAGCTACAGCGGATTTGCTGTCATTCTTGTCGTTCAGATAATGGAAGTCTTCATTTTTCCTGACATTTTTAAGAACGTGCCATTTACTCTTTATATAGCTGAAGTGATAATGCCAAGTGCGGGAATAATTCTTGGAATCGTTTTTGGATGGATATTTCACCAGCCGTGGCCTCTTTCTAGAACCATTGGGATTGAATCTGGATTTCAGAATGTCGGAACAGCCCTAACTGTGATTTCCCTATCATTCCCTTTTGAAGTGAGAGCCTATTCCTCTTGGGTCAGGTTTTTATTATAATTTCAGTGAAATACCTTATTTTGCTGATTTTCCTATTATTGTGAGATAGGGTAGAATAACGAAGATCTGCTGACTTTAGATGTTTAGGCATATTATGAACCTTTTACTATCTGACATAATTTCATCCAAATGCGTACATTTGAGAAATTTTATAATTCACTCTGTATTTAAGCGAAATCTTTTGATTTAAAACTTTTTGTGAAACCCATAAGGAAAACGACGGTTTTTTCGAAGATATCGAAATCCGGTTTCTAAAGTTGTAAGTCCGCAGACATACAGCTGAGCCACTGGGGGGGGGGGGGGGGGGGAGGAGGTATGTAGTCACGTATTCAATTATAAAACTATTTGTATTCATCCTATATGTACAGTACAACTTCTGTATTAACACATTTTACCTCAAACAAATAGTTTCAAAGATAGCATTTAATTGATCTTGATTTAACCTTAAAATCATGATATGTCATGTAATAATGACACCCCAAGATGATTAAACACCCTATATCAACAGATTTTCGATATTCCACACTTACTTTATAACAATAAGGAAAATCTGGTCAAAAGTGACTCACTCCCTATAACATTAGGTATTACAGTCTTCCTGAACGAAGTTTCTATAAACTCAACAACAGCTGTTATAAATATATATATATATAAAGATTTTACGTCTCAATATGTCGTACAAGAACGTAGTAGTAAACATTTCATTCAGTGCAAACAAAGCATTTAAAAAAATCTAATAATATTGTTTCTCTTCCACACTTTTCTTTACATAGCTGTGTTTGTAATTATATCTAAAATAAAAATTAAATGTGCGTCTTTCAAAATAATTACATAACATATTTGCATAGAATTAAATATTACTTATTTGTATGGAAGCATAAAAGAGACGAATAGCACGTTCATGTTAGCCAGGTGTGGTAAAGTAGTTATCCTGAAGGACTATGGGTCAAATGGCACAAGATTTGAGCCGTGATTCCGTTGAACACGCTTGGCACTTTCAGATGTGGGCACCTTAAAGAAGTAACAATACATCGTTTCATTCGGTTTAAAAAGTCAGACAAAGCCCTTATGGCGGCGGATGCTACTGGTTGGCTGCCGTTCAAGTTTAGAATTAAATTTCTTTCGAATTATGACAATTTTCTGGAAAATAATATTTAGGATTTTGTTATTTGAACACATTTGTGTAAAATAATATAATACGAGTTATGTTTTGTACTTAACAAATACATTTCATTTTACTATATTATCGTTAGAGGGCGTGATTTAAAGGTATGATATAACCTATATGTGTATATATTGGGTTAAATATTACAATGTTAGTTATTTATAAATCTATGAATTTAGGATATTGGTTAGAGCATATGTAGTCACACCGTTGATGTTGTTTGAAGTTAAGCACAAAGCTACACAATGGGCTATCTGTGCTCTGCCCACTGCAGGTATCGAAATCCGGTTTCTAGCGTTGTAAGTCCGCAGACATATAGCTGTGCCACTGGAGGGGGGGGGGAGAGGTATGTAGTCACGTATTCATTTATAAAACTATTTGTATTCATAAACAACATTAGAACAAGAAACATATACATCTTTATTATTTCTGAACGTCTCTATACAAAGGTCAGTAAGACTTCATTATGAATATTTATCGCAAGGCCACCCACACTGGTTTCTACATAACTTAGAATTCAGCTCACCCTACCTATAAAAAAAGGCATTTAAAAATTAATTTCTAATACTACAACAATTTGTATTTAACAAGGAATTTTGATTTTAAAATCAAACGTCTAAAATTCAGATTTTTCACATCAACAAAGATGCTAAAACTTTAATCGAAAACACAATTTCAAGACCTATAACCACGATCGAAGTGATGTCCCTGATACTTTCAATTTAAGCAAATATACCACTACCTGCTCCTTACTTTAAATTCCCGCTCTTTGTTATGCTCTTAATGTAAATATTAAATTGAATTTTACTCCTAGACAAAATCAGGCACTATTCTATCAAGTAAATTCAAAGACAATCATATTAGTAATGTTGTTTATAAATACAAATGCCAGGGCTGTAGAAACGAGCCACATAGGTGAAACAGGAAGAAAACTCAATACCAGCATTTAGAAGAAAAATCGTGCATCTTCTAATATTTTTTCAATATAAACTAAACTCTGGTCAGAATATTCCATCTCATTAATGTCACGTAATTCATAAGAAAAACAACAATTACAAACCTTATCTTACCACCACCAAACATGCTCGTCCTCTCAGCCGTTAGGGCATTAAAATGTGACAGTCAGTCTCACTAGTCATTAGTAAAGAATAGCCCAACAACTGGCGGTGGCTGTTTACGGCCACTTGTCTTTCCTTCCAATATACGTAATAGCCTTAGTAGTTTTGCCATAAAAAAACAAAACAAAGACTTATGTAGAGAATAAAACTAAAAAATCAGTCTTATTTCATGGAGGTGTGACTTGAGTTTTAAATTTCTCTGTAGGTTCAGAAAGAGATTCTCTTATTTCCTGCGTTATACGGTTTTTGCATGTTGTCTGTTGGATTTATCATGGTCCTAATATTCAAAACATACAAGAGATTATTCCGAAAGAAACCCAGTAGCGTCACTGACGAACCTTTGGATAAATCTCAACAATCAGGTAAGTTTATGGGAGAATCATAAATTATCACCAAGTGATTTTGTCGGATATGTTGAGTTAAAGATGTTTATTAATATCTTCGCAGCCTTCACTGTGAAAGTTGGTCCACCACACCTAAATTTGTAAATACATTTTATTGTTTTTTGTTATTTTTTTCTTTAAACTTGTCAAGCCCTTTTGGTAAAAAAAATCCAATAGCGGGAAAATGTATTTACAATACATTTTTTTAATGTCCCTATCTATAGATATTTTGTGTCTCATTTTAAACAACCATAAAATCATAAACGTTACCGCACAATACTGAAGTAAATAAATATCATACGATATGAAGCTATATATTGTTATCTCTATCACATTTCTCCTTGTGGGATGCTTTATCAGAAAAGTAATTAAAATCCATATTTTGACATACTAAACATGGTTTGATAAAGTAATCACAACAAGTTTATTATAAAATAAAATATAGTTATTAAGTTATCAGAAGTTTTAGAGAACAAATAAGAAAATACATAATATCCACTATGCTTACAAACAAGGGAACTTGAAATTCCATTAAAACCTGTGAGCACAAGTTACTTTAGGATATTTAATCATCATACGTCGATTCTAGACTGTCATTCTTAATTCTTTTAAGACAAACTGCTTCATATATAGCAGTGTAAACAATTGTTCTAAGCTATACTTAAGGTAGGCCCGGCATGGCCAGGTGGTTAGGGCGCAGGATGAGAATGGAGGAGGATTGGGTGCGGTGCTAGTAACTCCACCCCGTAAAAACCAACCTGCTACAAGTAACTGCAACAACAACTTTCCGTTGGTGAGGTGTTGTTACGGCCCTATGCTCCACTGGGAGTTTACAGGAATAAAAAAAAATACTTAAGGTAGTTTAATTTAAATATTTATTTACTTGTCATTACATCATGATGATGCAACATCTAGAAGCTTCATGCAGAAAGAAGAAATCGAATAATGATATAAATACGTCAGAGTGAGTTTGTTAATCGATCAGTGAATTATTATGTTAATGAGTATTTAGTTCATCTCGGTGTGGGTTAGTGAATAAACCAATGTGCTTGATCACGATTGATTAGCGAAGAAATTATGCAAACACGTTTTTTAGTAGGCTAAGCGTACGTACAATTTTTCTCGAAATTTGTGTTGAAACATTGTTTGTGAAGTTAGGCCTACAAGTGAACGTAGTCTGTAGCAAACATTATTGAAGAAATAAATTATTCGCTATCGTTACCTGGATTGGACTTCGCATTACGTTTGTCAAATAAACCATACAAATGGCGTCCAATTGTAGAACACGTTATAAAAGTTAAGTGAACATCATCGCACGAGTAAGAACCTTTTATGTTTTTAAAGGTAGGAGGTGTAGTAACACAAAGATAAATTAAAATCCCCCAAAATAACAAACGTTTGACCCAATTGTACAAATAGCCATTATTCTATAAGAACAATTCCATTTATAGAGCAGTTTTTCTGAACATTTCTATGTTATGAACAAAGTGTAGAGTATAATAAGAAAGTGTGTGAAAAAATAACTGTGACCAACTCTTACATAATACTTTTTATCAGCTTTAATTGACCTTCAGAATGCTATAATTTATTCCACACATCATAACATGGGACTATGTAACGTTTCAAAATCTCGATATATTTTTGCCATCGTTCAAATAAAGTAAACGACATTTGTTTATGAAAATGGAAACTTCTAAAAAAATCGAACAGGTGCAGCAGAAAGTGTTTTAACAATAAGTTAAATTAAGTGTGATATTTTGTCATCAAACCTAACATAGTCCTTACGGTAAGGTTGTGGAGATAAAATTCCATCTTGTCACTTCTTATAGCGTATACAAGCATCGAAGTTTAATGACTAATAAATTTATAATTTTTATTGCTGTTTTAGCCAACAATTACCAATATTTCCGTGAAGACGATAGTAATTAGACGTAAGTGATTGTATAGGCTACTTACCATGACAACGAAGCCTAATATATTTTCTTCATTAACCACAATAATGTTTATGATGACTACAACGCTGTGTACGGTTATATTTGAAATAATTGTATAATTTTCTATTTAATTTTCCAACAAGAAATTTATTATGTATCTGTGTTTGTTTTAGAAATATAGTTTATTTATTTTTTCTTCGGTAGAAGAAATCACAGAAATGAAGGATAACGATCTCAAAGGGGTGGATAATCCTGAATTCGTATGTGATCCTGAACTTCAAGATGATAAGACTTCGCCTGCTTCTCATTGATTTTTGTTTGTAACTAAACAGATGAAAATAGTATATGTATAATTATAGACACACAAACACACATATATATACACACATAGAGATTATGTACGTTATATTAAAATGATTTTGGAGCCTCACCACATCGATACAGTACGTGTCATCATGTCCGATCATGGTATCTGACCGGCAAGCATTTTGACAATATATATATATCTGCAGCATAGTTTCCGTTGGAAAAGGGTCTGTCGTAAGGTTGCCACGTCCAAAGCACACAACTGCTTCCCGTTGTTTTCAATAATCCATCCAGTGTACGAGGACGACGAATCTCGGCGTCTGTTTCAATTGTTCGATCGCACGGGAATTCATAAACGCTGCGTCGCGACTTGACCGCCATGTCTGTGTATAGAATAACAGGAGTACCCATTACATCCTCCAGCTGGTTGAGGTATGCAACGGTTGAACAGATAATGCGTGGAAGTAGCTTGAGTATACATTACACGTGCCGCTTTTCCGGACTGAAATCTTTATTGATTATGTTTCTCACCGCTGCCTGGGTCACGTAGACGGCTTTTGCCACTGACTAAAAAACGATAACTTTCGGTAGCATATCAAAATCTACGATGCCCAACCATGCCAAAATATAGTTGTTATACATTTCGTTCTATGGCGAACTTATATCGCTGTGGTTGTCCTGTGATTTGTGATTTACATATTCAAAATCATGTTAATATAACGTGCTTAGCTCTCTTTTACATCTTTTGCAAATATATCATTAAATCAGAGAAAATTAGCACTTTGACCTTTGATTTTTTTTTTTAAAGTATACTGGAATAGATTCAATTTTTTTAAGTACATTGGAATATATTCTGATTTTTAAAATACACTAGAATATATTTTGATTTTTTAAAATACATTGGAAAATTTTGAGTTTTATACTACATTGGAATATATTTAGATTTGTAAAATATATTGGAATAGATTTTGAGTTTCAAACTACATTGAAATTGTAGTTGTAGTTTAAATTATATTAGGCAGACGCGTAGAAATTTGAAATTTAGAATAAGAGAAAATGAAAATGCATTTGAGAAAATGAGTGATTCAGCTGCATGTGGCGATAGCTAACTCTTCACATTAAACTGACTGGGTCGATGTAAAATACTTAAACAGGTGATTTTGAACTTAAAAAATAAATTAAATATGAAATAGTCACTTTAATATGTTCAAAATTAAATCCTGATTTTGAATAGAGATTTAGGTTCAGGTGCATCGGAAGTAAATATTCGGAATTATATTTTTTAAATGGCGCCACTGTACAATATGCTAATTGTACACGTAAATTTACTCCATAACATTAAACAATCTGAAAAATCTTTCTTTGGCTTCTAAAAATGGTGGATCATGTTGTCCACCGAAATATGTAAAACGTATTTTCTAAAATTATACAAACGAAGGTATTGTACACATGGACCCGTTGTTGTTATGTTGTGAATAGAAAATATACACAAGTGATATCAGTCTGACGTATTTAAAACACAATAAAACTACAATTTCCTTTAAAAATAATTTCAAGAAATTTACAAGTAGCTGATAATAGGTAATACAAAATGTTTGTAGAATATACGTTAACAAAGTGAATTTGTTTAGAAACAAGTGTTTTTAATAAAAATAAAGAAAAAGCTTTAAAGTCCATATAATTACAAAACCTAATTGTATGTATAAATAATAAATATAATATTTTTTCACAGCCAGTATTAATGTTTAGTCATCATTCTAAGTCAATGAATATAGTTACTTATAGTTGATATTTTATAAATAATTCGCCATATCCTTAATGAAGAGAAATACCTGTTCTTAAGAATCTTGCATCTTAAGATAACATTAGGTAAACCTTACAATTGAATTTACTAAAACTACTATTAAAAATCTTAAACCTCTCTTCCAAAATGACCCCTCTCCCCCGGTAGCTGAGCAGTAAGTGGGCTTATAACGCTAAAAATTAGGCGCAGAGTATAGAAAGCTCATTGTATAGCTCTGTGCTTTACATTACAGTTAAGGTTTTTAAAAACCAATTTTCAGTACTTGATACCCAAGCAGGCTTGTTGTAAAATGCACAAAACTAATAATCCTGGCCATTTCATTATTCTGAACAAATAGCATAAGCATAGCCACCAAAAAAAAAATCTCTCTGATTATGTTGAAGACTGGGTCAAATGTGGAACAACAGTTGGCGTGCTGAACTTTGGATCTGCCAATTCAACGTTAAGGATCCGTTATCGCAAAAAATATCATGCACTACATTTTGAGGACGTGAAGCGTTATAAAGGTGACGGTTAAATCCCACTATTTGAATAGAATACCCCAAGAGTTACTAGAGATTGTCGTTGATTAGATACCTTCCCTCTAGTCTTCATAATTAGGGACGTCTTGCACAGAAAGTCCTTGAATAGCTTTATGCGAGTATCTGAAAACAAACAAATGTTGAGCACCACCTAAGACACTTAACATCCTCTTATTTTGCACATTTAATACATGAGACATTTTATTAATAGCATTGTGGAATAGATAACAAAGGTCAATTAACTTGTTTGCTTGTTCGCGAAAAGCTACTCAAGGGCAGAGGCATCCCTAGGGCCGAATTGACGGTTTCGTTGGCCCTAGACACTTATATATCGTTCTTCACATACGCGCTATACGTACTAAGCTACATCGGTGCGGTAAGTATGCGATATGAAAACGAACTTTCTGTTTGTCTGTGGATGCATCTCCTCCTAAAAGAATTTTAAAGTTTTGTGGTCCTCATAGCTTTGTTATGCTATATCTTCATCCAACCGCCCAACATCCACGCTAAAGAATTAATTGTCACACTTATAATGTATCGTACAACTTGAAGTACGGGTAATATTTTGTGGAATAGCACAGATTCGAATTTGGCTTGTCAGATCCGAAATCCATAACTCTACCATATTGGTGCTTTAAAAGAGTGATGGTCAAATCCCACTACTTGAGCTAACAAGAGTAACCCAAGAGTTTGCGGTGGGGGATGTTCTCTAGTTACCTTCCCTCTAGTCTATGATTTTAAAATTAGGGACTACTAGCGCAGATCACTCTCTGATAAAATTGTGCGAAATTTAACAAACAAACAAACAAACAATTCTACCATTTGGCTAACCCGCACTTTTTCGCTACCTCAAAACAATTGAAATGTCCTACTTCACTCAAACACATAAGTATATATTTATATTGTTTAACATTTGCTAACATTCTTCCTTACTTTGACGTATATTCCTTAGAAAAGAAGTATAGGAAACATTTCGTCAGTTCATTCACTCAAAGTATATGATGAATTTTTACCTTACAAATGGAGCGTATGGGGAGTCTCTGAACAAATCATTGTGGTACCTACGGTCAATACTAAAATGTTTTATAGGTTTACAGTTAATTACAGAAGAAGAAAAAAGAAGATTAGTTTGTTTGTTTTAAATTAAGCACATAGCTACACAATAAGCTATCTGTGATCTACCCACCACGGGTATCGAAACCCGATTTCTAGCGTTATAAGTCCAGAGATATACCGCTGTGCCATGGGGGGGGGGCAAAAAAAGAAGAAGATGCCTTGACGCAACCCTTATCATAGCTTCTGTCCCTTACATGCTTATACATTTGCTGGCTTAAGACTCTCAAGTGGAACTTTGTACACCAAATCCTTAGTTTAAAACCATATCATGTTATGATAAACACAGTTTGGTTTTCTTCAGATTAAATTATCTTTTATCACATTTGTGCCCTATATATTTAGTTTCTAAAAGTTACACAAGCTGTGATACAGTAGTTGTAAAGGATTTTACGCAACATGAAATACTTTTCTCTCAAGATAAGCAGGGATACAACCATGTGAGCCAAATCTTATCGTGTTTTTTAATAAATATGGCATGTCTTGCATTATTTTTAATAGGAGTTATGGTGAAAGTGATTTCATGTTTATTTAAATGACCAAGGAGTTTGTAAAACAGTCTAAAATGTGATTCAGTAGCATTTGAAATGCAGCAGCACGTTGTTTCTGTCTAACAAGGCAAAGAAGAATGTAAACATTGTGTGAGGCATGACAAAATTCACCCTTAAAGGCCTTCAATTGAAAGCAAAGAAACAACAAAAAGTTGTAATTAGACAGTAATATTCAATAGTTGTTAGTTGTATAGCTTATGTAACAGGTTTTCTTGTTGTTCTGGGGGTGACTCTTTCGACTACAAGTTGCGAAGAGTCATATTGTGTTGCATCACACAAATGTAACACCTGTAAACTCCTCGGTTGTCTTGAAATATAAAACTAACGTTAAAATTTTAGGGTTTAAGCCCATAACAGTCGATCAAGTAATTCTTATATGTTTGTCTCTGTATTACTTAGTTCATCCTTACCTACGTTTTCACCATCCTAAGACACAGAAGACATTAAAAAAAAAGGCTAGACACCACAAGAAAAACATGGAAGAAATGACTTACTGGATGCAACAGATTTTTGACGATTGAATAAAAGTCGGGCAATCGTGAAAGAAACTTGGCTAGTATTACTAGATGAGCAGCGAATATGTTTCTGAATATCTTGTGATTTGTATACTACATTACTGCAAGTGTTGCGGATCCAGTAGCACGAAAATGCAAAACGTAAAGATCCAAAACCTATGCTTGTTTAATCTGATTGAAGAATTCTCCAGACTGCTTGGTGCAAGTAAAACCTTGTAGCACCATTCAATACAGGTTTAAACATATGCAGCCAATTTTTGATTAACATAAGACTTAGCAAAAGAGGTTAAATAATGTAAAAGTTACCACTTTTATATATTAAGTATTAAATTTAAAAAATCTTATCATATCTATATGACAAACACTATTTTCTCGTAAGGATGCAAAATAGATAAAAGATGGTTTTGCCATTTATTTTCTAAATATCAAGTAAATATACTTATTACATATAGAGTATAGATTGTGTTATCACTTTCTGGCATTAGTGAAAAATACACGTAGGAATACGATAGAACACGCGCTAAGAAACACACATATTGAGAGTCAGTTGCATTATATAAGAACACGCTGTCCTTGGAGAAAGGAAAGAAGGAGAAGCAAGAAATGCTTACGGTTTCTTTTTAATACTTTTCAAGTCTATATGAAAAATTGTCGATTGTAACTTTTTTACAACGATAAAAAGTTTAATGTTCTAGGCCTGTTCTGAAATAAAGACTGAATAAGGGTAGCTAATCATAGTGACGAGATAATTACTTGAGATAGTTTATGATACGAATACATATGTATACTAACAAATGCTTCTAAAAAAGGAGAGAGAGATTGTTTGAATTTCGCGCAAAGCTACACGAAGGCTATCTGCGCTAGCCGTCCCTAATTTAGCAGTATAAGACTAGAGGGAAGGT